TGTGGCTCAAGAGGTAGAGCGCTCACCTTGAGCTGAAGAGTGCAGGGACAGTGCCCAGGCCCAGAGTTCAAGCCCCACAACCGACCAAAAAAAAAAAATCTTTAAGTATTTGTACAAAGGAGTTGACCATTTAAAAAAGCAGTTTATGAAGTTGCTGTGTGGGGGGGTGGGGATGGGCGTGGGGGATGGGTTGGTTGTAGAGCTTGGACACTCTCCCTGAGCTTTTCTGCTCAAGGCTAGTGCTCTACCATTTTGAGCCATAGCATCACTCTGGTTTTCTGGTGGATAATCAGAGATAAGAATCTCATGGACTTTGCTGCCCTGCCTGTCTTTGAACTACAATCCTCAGATCTCAGCCTCCTGTGTAGCTAGGATAACAGTTGTGCAAGGGTACTGTGAAAGCATCTAAAGAGATGGTTAGATTGCGAAGTTCTTCAGGTGGCTTTTAAAATTAAACACAAGTACACATGTAATAAAAATAAATGCAAAGTTAAAAAAGGTTTTAAAAATTCCACAGTTGAAATAGGCTATGTGTCTTGTAAGTAGGGACTGGAGGAGGAAAATAGGTAAGAATGAAGGAAGGTGTGACATTTTAAGAAGCATTGTACTCATAATCTGACTTATGGGATTATAGCCCCTTTGTAAAACTCCTAAATAACAACAATTAAAAAAAAAACCCTCTTATATTAGAGCACCTGAGAATTGCACCTTAAGAACCAGCAGCCTTTTTGTTGTTGTTGTTGTTTTTGGGAGGGTCTGGTTGTGGACCTGAACTCTGGGCCTGGGCGCTGTCCCTCAGCTCTTCAGCTCAAGGCTAGCACTCTACCACGTGAGTCACAGTGCCACTTCCGGCTTTTTTCTTTTTTGCTTTATGTGGTGCTGAGGAATCGAACCCAGGGCCTCAAGCATGCAAGGCAAGCGCTCTACCACTGAGCCACCTTCCCAGCCCGAGAACCAGCAGCCTTAAGAAAAGTCAATATATGTTTTATTTTCTCATCTGCAAACTGGAGTATATATTATTAGGCCATCACACACAGAACATCTCATCCTCCTTAGTAAATGTGAACATCTTAGATAATAGATTTGGTACAGACATTTTGGAATAAGATTGACCTTTATTTCTTTTATTCTATACAAGTCTTTTTAGTGAAAACTTGTACAAATGCTTCATTTAATTAAAACATTTGATAGAAGAAAATACAGGATAACTCCCAAATAGTATAGAAAAGTATAAAATAGAAAATAAAAGGCCCAGCCAAGCGCCAGTGGCTCACACCTGTAATCCTAGCTACTCAGGAGGTTGAGATCTGAGGATCACCGTTCAAAGCCAGCCCAGGCAGGAAACTCCGTGAGACTCTTATCTTCAATAAACCACTAGAAAACCGGAAGTTCCACTGTGGCTCAAGTGGTAGAGCACTCGCCTTGAGCTGAAGAGCTGAGGGATAGTGCCCAAGCCAAGTTCAAGCCCCATGACCACACAAAAAAAAAAAAAAAAGAAGAAAGAAAAGGCCCTTCCTTCACTTTCATCCTCAACCAGCAAAACTTCACTAGACTGACAGGTTTTTAGATTTTTTTTTCCTTTTTACCTTCATTTTAAACAAATTTGTTCTGCTTTTAAAATTATACTTAGTTAGTTCTGGTCCTGGGACTTAAAACTCAGGGCCTAGGCACTGTCTCTTAACTTTTTTGCTCAAGGAAGGTACTTTCCCACTTCTACAGCTCTACTTCTGTTTTTGTTTTGCATTGGAGAAAAGAATCTCATGGACTTTCCTCCCCATAATCTTCAGATCTCAGCCTCCTGGGAAGTTTGGATTATAGGTATGAGCCATAGATGCCCTGCTTAAACTTTTGATTTTGAGATTATTTTAGATCAAATGCAATTATACAAACTAATGGAGAGTGATGTTGTATGCTCTCCTTATTTTTCTAAATGAAAACATCTTGCCAAGTCTCACAGTGAGTGTGCTGACTTGACACACAGGAGAGGGAACCTGACCTGATCGGGCTTGGAGGAAGACACGAAAGAATGTATGTCTTCTTCCTTGTCTGGGCTTCTCAATTAGAGCGTCTGGTGGGGAGAGTTGGGCCACGTGAATGTCAGGACGAGGTCATGGGAATAGGGACTCCCTATTGTTCAGCTGCATACATCTGTCTTAGTCACTCTGTGATACCACAGGCATTGTCTCTTTCTAGCAGGTTTTCTTTCCCCTGCCTTGGTATCGTTCTACCTTTGAAGTTATCAAGACTGTAGAGGAACAATGTAGTTAATATTCACAGGTAAATTTATGATATTAGTCCTTGCTACAGCAAACTTCATAAATAGTCTACTTTCATAGGCAAGAAGGAGGTTACAACTTTGGAAAAAGAGTTTGCTTTTAATAAATTGGGATGCTACTGTTCCTTTGTGATTGAGAGTGTTTTGTTCTGAAATTTTCTTAGAGAGGCACAGATACCCAGGTAAGGTAATGATGGGAAAGTCAAAAGGCACAACTGCCAGCATCCCAGCAGGACATATTTCCTCCCTGGCGTTAGAATAGATGTGATTGGAAGGAAGTGTCATTGCAGAATAGGATAAAAATGGCATACTGGGATTTTCCTTTGTCATGACACTTACTTTTTAAAAAATGAAATTTAGAATACACTAATTACAAGTACGTTGATTCACATAAGTGCTTCTCATTTTCTGTTCCATTTCTTTGTCCCCCTTCCTTGGCTTTTTGAGACAAGGTCTTGCAATACAACCCAGGATAGTCTGGAATTCCTAATACTTCTCGTTCAACCTCCCAAGTCCTGGGATTACAGGCATGTAACCCCACACCTACACAGTTGTGGTTTATTTAAATTTTTCTTTCTTTCTTTCTTTCTTTTTTTTTGCATGTGATCAAGGCTGCCTGTTTTAAAATTTTTATTACTAAGTAATTATACAAAGAGGTCACGATTCCATTAGTTAGGTTATAAGTGACTTGACCAGTGTCTCTTTTCTTACTGAAGGAGATTTGCAAAAAACTAAGAAAGGAGGTGTTCAGATGCTCATTCATGCGGGATTTTGGTAATTTAGAGAGGTTTAGTGCATGTTTATGTGCATGCTTGCTTGTTTCTGTACAAGTTGCTCTATCAGGATTCTCAGAATCAGTCCTGCAACAGTGAGACAGGTCATAGGGATCAAAGGTGTTTGTCTGCTTTCACAGAATGGCCTTGAGAGAATGCCCACTCGTGTGATTGTCATGTCTTTCAGTTTTCAAGAAGAACCATAAAGCCTTTAAAGGCAAGGAGGTAATTCACACTTTAAACCAATTCACACTTTAAACCAATACCCTGTGCTTTTGCCCAATATGCCTCTGTCTGATTTTCATTTGACAGTGCCATTGTCCTTACTGGTAACTGTCCAAGAGACAGGAATTTAGATTTACGTGGAACCTTCACCCAGACCTACTGTGTCTCTGGGTTTATCCTCTTGTCTGTGGTAGCCCCAGTCTTCAATCACCCAACATCTCTGTGGATTATTTTTTCTCCTCTCCTCTTCTCCTGTGTGACTAGCTAATACCTGAGCAGTTGTTGATTTTATCAGTTTCCTTGTTTTCTTTCCTTTCCTTCCCATTTTAACACCCCCCATTAGTTAAGCCCATGACTGTTGTAATAAGATTTTCCCTCCATTCTAGTTCCTGGGGCATTAGCAGCCTGCTTGCTTATCTAATTCTTTTATTCTCTCCCTATTCAGAAATTTCTATGGGGCTTTATTGTCTACTATGTGACTTCCACAAATTCTGCATAGATCACAAGGTTTTTCTAGTAGCTTTAGCTGTTTCTCTAATGATTTCTCCTGGCATTTTTCAACCCATTTCTCCAGTAAGACCAAGTCTACTTCCTTTATTGTGCCCCTGGCAGTAACTGTGTGAGTCTTGTAAAATTTCTGGATAAAGGGCAAATCCTTTCCCTAGGGCTTGTTTCCAGGGCTAGAATAGATTCAGATGTTGCATAACCTATTTCATTTTTGTTCTCTTACATTTGTGCTAGAAGCCTTGGATCAGGAAGGAAGTAGGATAAAGGAAGACCCCAATGAGTCCTTCTCTAGCTAGAAAAGAATTCGGGAAGGCTGAGGGCTGCCATAGGCTCTTCAGAGTTTCAGTTAAGACTTCTCCAGGATACACAGAAGCCTTTATATGGAGAGACCTTCTTCAACAGATTTCTGCTTTCCCAGGAAAAAAAATTGTATGTGAAGGTATACCAACCACAGGAAAACATACTCTCTGTATTTCTCCTCCATGTTCCCTTGTCATTTTGTTTCAGCTTCTTGATTTAGTACACAGCACCTAGAATTACAGTTATGTAAATTTGTAACTATCTCTCACTGAGACACCTCTTGCTACTTTTATGTTATTCTTTTATATTTTAGTTTATTAGACAGTTAATTTACTATGTCTGGTGTGTGGTAAGCACTTAATATGGTAGATCCTTGATGATTTCTAGTGATATATCATGAGAATGAGGAACCTACAACTCTGTGATTGTCATTAATTGATCCTTAGTTTCTGCCCCCAACTAAATGAGTTGTACCCAAACTTAAGTCCTCTCAGCATAAACCCAAGACTCTACCATGAGGATTTTGTATACAGGAGTTTATTCATTATTACATGTCAGAAGTAAGTAATATTATTTTCTCTGTTGCAAATTATCCTATGACATTGATTTTGCAAGTAGTGTGACAAATGTTGGATGAGTAGATGGAAAGATGACTGGAAGAACTAGTATAATTGAATGCTATGTTCCCTAAGGGCTTTGCATTCCATAACAGTATCTGAAACATTTGAGCAACAATGTTTAGAAGATTAAATTGAGAAACGTGAGACAAAATAACCTAAAACAACAGATAATGTTTAACAAATTAATCTTTCTCTCCAAGAACAGCATACAATCCATGCACTTGAAGATTGCTTAGATGCTCTCAATACTTGGTAAGAATTAATTGCATTTACAACTTCCCTCCTTTTTTTCTTTACCAGGTGACGGCTGTGGGCACATAGTGACCTCTCAGGACAGTGGCACGATGACATCTAAGAATTATCCAGGGACTTATCCCAATCACACTGTTTGTGAAAAGACTATCACAGTCCCAAAGGGGAAGAGTCTGATTCTGAGGTTGGGAGATGTGAATATTGAATCCCAGAGCTGCGCTTCTAACTATCTTCTCTTCACCAGCTCCTTGGAGAAATATGGTAAGAAAAGAGATGTGAGCAGTAATGTAACCTGTCAGCAGGTTACATTGGAGATATGAGGAGGAGGGCAAGTGAGGTGTTAGTTAATACTTCAGGCTGGGAAGACAAGAAGAGAAACTTGCTTTGAGTGATGAGACATTTGCTTCCTAAGCTGAAACAGTGCAGGAAACCCCAGGCCACATTAGATGTCAGCTTTGTGTGTGTCTCAGAGGCTCTGAGTTTCAGTGTCATGGAGAAGAGAACTAGAGAGGTGTGACATTTGGCTAAAGTATCTACAGTTCATTCATTTATGTGACCCATGTCTATTGAATAGTGACCGTGTGTTTCAGATACTCTGTGAATGACTGGGATACAGGCACAAACAAAACCTCCTTCATGGGGCTTAGACCTGAGGGCAGAGGAAGACAGGAAAGAAGCGGATATGATTGTGAGAAAGAAAAATAAGGGAAAATGAGGCATCCTCGGGTGACATGGAGCCTGTTTCGATTCTGTTGGTGCGCCCTCCAATACAGTGGTGTAGAAGGCCTCTCCAAAAAGGGTGCATTTGAGCAGAGACCAGACAGCAGTAAGGGAATGAACTCTGCAGGTTGTGAGTGGGGCCCAAGTTTTCTGGTAAAGGGACAGCAAGCACAAAAAAGCCTTGGAAATTTAGCTCTCATGTTTTGAAGTATGCTGTTTGTACCTGGGAGCCAGAAATCACCACAACAGTGACTCTTTGGTTCTAAGCTCCAAGAAATATCTCGGAGTGGCACAACTGGAAAACGCAGGTGAAATTCTAGATATAACTTCTTTTGAGTTTAGAGATTTTCCAAAATTCTCTCTACATCAACTCCAAATATGATACAAGCTTTATATAACCTCCCACCACTGACCACAAGCAGTACAGGCAGTTTCTCAAATATAATCAGATGGCTGTCCTGCTTACTGACGCCAGGGTCTAGAAGCCCAGAACAGCCCTAGGACAATTCAGAGAACTTAACTTACCTAATCCCAATGAAGAAAAAAAAAATAAGATATTTTTGATTGTTTGCTTGCCTGTTTTTGTTTTGTAGTTGTTGTGTTTTTGAGATAGGGTCTTTATAGTTCAGGCTGCCTCAAACTCTCTAATCTCCTATCTCAGCCTGCTGAGTGCTAGCATATATTGGCACGAACAACTAGACATGACTCAATGTTTAAGATTTTTTTTAATCCCTGGGAATATTGCATCTCTTTTATTTTTTATTTTTTTGCTCAAGGCTGGCACTCTACCACTTGACCCACACTTCCACTTCCTATTATGTCTATTTTTTAAACCAAAAAATTATTGTTGTCTATTAATAGTACAAAGTGAGAGGTTTTGTGGAAGTATTTTCTGTTATTTTCTGTTGTGTGTATTTTAATGATTATGGAATTACTCTGTCAGGGTCAAGGTGGTGTTTTTCATATGGTTGGTTGCAATTTTTTAAACTAGATTTGGTTTAAATAGGAAAAATGACACCTAAGGGATGCTTAAGACTCCTGGATGTACTTGCTGTTAAGTTACCTCTGATAAACAAATGTATGTTAACTTAGAAGGACATCTAAGCTAGGAGATTTCATTCAGGTTACAAGGAAGGGACCAAGTATTAGAATGCGAGTGAAGCCAGTGCTATACCACCAGAAATGGCTTTTCCACCCTGTCAGGAGAAGCATCCACCCTGCTTTGAAGATGGGCATTTAATTCTACCTGCTCACTGTGCAGTGGAGGAATCAGAGCAGCTAAAACAAGGAACACAAGTGGCTTGTCTCCACCCAGCATTTTCTAGCAATTTCCAGTTATGCAAAAAGGAAGAAAAGAATGGAATTAAGGACATATCTCAAATTGGGTTTCAGGATGGCTTTAGCTGCTTCAGACTTCTGTCCTCTACATAAAGTTCTTGCATTTTCAAGATTTGGACTCCTGTTTTGGGGGGTTGGGGTTTTTGTTGTTGTTGTTCGTTTTTTTAACCAGATCTCACTATGTGGTCTAGGCAGACTGGCTTCAAACTTGCTTTGTCAGCCTCCCAAGTGCTAAAATTACAGGCATGCACTACCATACCATGGTTAAAATTTGGACTTCTCACTAGGTAATTGGTAATGAATTACGATTCATTTTTAGCAATGAAGTCAACTAAATTTTTATTTCTCTTCAAAGTTTATTTATATAAAGTTATGCTTACGTTCTAATAGAATCCATGGTCATAGAAATGAACACATTCATTGTCTATTATATACCTCGCACGCACTTGACCCCTTTTGGTTTTCTAAAATCCCCACATCAACATTGGAGAAAATATTAATTTGTTTTTGTAGATAAATGGGGATACAATGAGATCAGTAAACATGCCTAGCTGGCTCACACGCTAGCTAGTTCAAGGTGAGGTTCTTCATGACTCCCAAGACTCCTATTTCAGTTGCTCTTTCCTTCCAGCTCCAATACCCAGAGAAAGCCATTGAATTACCACCTTCTTAGGTTGGCCAGTTCTTTATTATGTTATGTAGCAATTTTTGCGTAGAACAGAAGGAGTAAGTAGTGTTTTTAGTAGGGGATGTTATTAAGATAAAATATTTAAAGATGCTCAAGAGTCTCTCGTTTGTGTCTTTTAAGGATTTCCTTTGATTGGAAGCAATAACCAAACCTGTACTTTAACTGAATTAAAGTAGTTTCCTGGTCAGTTTGAACTTCCCCAAGTGGAGAAGGCAGAAGTCCTTTGTCTGCCTGTGATTTCAGTTCAGGGAGTGAGCAGTTCTATGAGCTGGCTGCTGTCCAGCCCTTGGGGAAGGGAGAGAGGGGGAAGGGAGGCTTCTCTGTAGTCATGTGGCCACAGGATCTGTAAGGTGGTGGCGGTTGGACCCCTAATGCCAGTGGAGGATCCAGGAATCCACAGCTACTTAGAGAATGCCCACTGACATGGAGCACCTCCTGTAATTCTAACAGTTGGGGGTGGGGTTCAGACAGCTGAGTTTTCATTAACCAGCTAATTGTTACAACTCACAGAGCAAAAGTCTTTAAGACTCAAAGCTCACAGCATTTTGAATGTCAAGTTCATGTTTTGGAAAAGATTAGTGTTTTCTGGCAAGTGTTTGCAAGCTTTGCCACGAGTGGCCATACTTGAAATGTGGTTACATTAATCCCTGTGACTATGCCAAGTGGCCCAGTATCTATCCATCATTGTATAGTTAAGTAGTAGTTGTTTATCCCCCTGCCAATTTTAAGAGTTTGGTGTATATACTCGGGGAATTTTGAAAATTCACATTCTTGTTAACAAAATGAATATAGAATTACTCAGACATGCACTTGATCTCAGTAGTATGAAATAGCCTGCTGAGCCAGACACAGGTGGCCTAACTACCCAGGAGGCTGAGATCTAAGGATGTTGGTTTGAAGCCAGCATGGGCAGGAAAGTATATGAGACTTTTATCTCCACTAAATTACCAGCCCTGGGTTTATTGTCCTTCTGTTTGCTGTGTATTACAACTATGGCTGACTTTTTGGATTCAAATACTGAGAAGGATATTAAGAAACTGAAAATACATTCAATCTCTTTAAGGACAAAAAAAAAGTTATTGAAACCCAGTGTTAGCGCCTCATGCCTATAATCCTACTTACTCAGGAGACTGAGATCCAGAGGACACAAAAGTTCTCAAGAAGTCACCAAAATGACCAACAAAGGCTAGAGATGTGGTTGAAGTGATAGAGTTCCAGCTGAGTAAGCAAGCCTTGCAAGTATGCTGAATTTAAGCCCTGTGCTTCCATACTAGAAGAAAATGAAAATAAAAGTCATTAAAGATACTTTTAAACATCAATTTGACTTAAAAATATATTTATTATTACTGTAAAGGTAATGTATAGTGGGGTGGTGGTTACATAAGCCACATAAAGAATACATTTCTTTTTGAACAATGTCACCCAAATATATTAAGAAAATTTAGGTACATCATTTATACACTGAGATCCTATATGTTATTATCATGGCAAAATTGCTGTAGATACACTTTGCTTAGCAGACATTGTTTTTACTATAACTAAGGGAGTTCTGGTTTCTTATTTAAGACGTCAAAGTAATTGAGATTCCCTTCAAAAGAAACAGCATTGTCCCCTTTTTTAGGTCAGCCAGGAAGCATTGAGTTGCCATACCCTCTCAGCCTCCTTTAACCGAGGGTAGTTCTATCAGTCTGTCTTCATCTTCTGCACAGTTTAAAGCTGCTCAGTTATTTTGTTACAAGGTCTGTCAGTTTAGGTTTGTTTTATGTTCCTTTGTTCTATGATGCATTTTGGTCCAACAATACTATCATAAAAATAATCGTAAAAGATTTGCTTATAGTAATCTTCAACATCAGAAATTTTGAAGTCATATAGGTACTCCCAGAGTGGAAATGAAATCTGCATTACATTTTCTTTGCCTGCATTTTCAGTTTTATCAGGTGGCCTGTTTTTTTGTGCATTTCAAAGATGCAACGTTTTAAGTTGTTTCAAGCTATAGTATCTTTCCTTACCAATTCTTTGCTGTCAAGCAGATAAAAGTAATGGGAGACTTTGAATAGACTCAAATGGAAGGTGATACCTTCTTTTCAGAAGATAATTACGATAAATCAGTTCATCTATGTTTGGTCACATAGAGAAACTTGATGAAGGTTATCAAGGCTGTTCTCTTATCCCCAATTTATCCCCAACTTCTGCTCCCTGTCTCCCTCCCTCCAGTTCCCAGTCCAGGGGACTTTTTAATGTCTGACAACTCCAAACTCCTTCCTCTATGTTCATCCTCACTTTCTTTTAGACTTTCAGCACAATACCAATTTCAGGTTAAGATTTTGTGGGGAGTGAATATTAAGAGTGTTTTGCTTTTTTTTTTTATTATTATTTTTTTTGCCCATGCTAGCCTTGAACTCACAATCCTTCTGCCTCAGTTTCCCAAGTGCTATGAGTACAGGCATGTATCCCCACACCTTGGGTACCTTTTATTCATCCTTTATCTGCTGAGGCATAGTTTAGTTTTATGGTT